AGCATATCTTGAATTGAGATCTTCGAACAACCAACTGCGACTGGTAAATCCAGCCCCGACGGTCTGATACTGCACTCTACATCGGCGCCCTGCATTTTCAACTGCAAAAAGCCTCAAAGTTAGCAAATAATTGGTGAGTCATCTATTCAGTGGTTGCTCAACACCTGGCGAACAAGAACTCCGCCTTCATGGAGGAATGCATTGAAATCGTATGGGCATTGTTCTGCTGAATTAATCATAATCACCAAATAGCTTATGGTGGTTACGCTTTTTCTTCACAAACTCTAAGCATGGAAGGCTGCTGACTTTGGCATAAATTTTCGTGTGAGCGCACTCGCAAGGACTGCTGCGCAGTGCGCAAAACTCTCGACTGCATGCAGCTGAAATTACAGATATTGAATCATTCCCATGAAAATTGCCGTAGCTGCATTAGTTTGTCATAGGTACGTCACATTCGAGGCAGCTTTCGTCGTACGGTCGCTTATTACTGTGAGCTATCGTTAAGTACTGCGAGAGAATCAAACAATGGTTTGCTGGGGTTCGTGGCGATTTTGGGACGGGGAGGTGGCGCGTCCGCCAAAGCACAGAGTTCTGATTTCAAGAGAGTGCCCTCCTTCCGCAAGTGTAATCCAGTGTCGGTGCGCAAAAACTGCCGATGAAAAGTACAGAATTTTAAATATAGTTCGGTTGAATCAATCCGGATTGTTGACCGACATTCCACACTTCGGTGCATGTGCACATAGTTAGCGAATGCGTTGTGTGGCGAACTATGATGGCCGCAGTTCGGCATAATGTATGCAGGGTATCGAGGGACTACTGGAAGGGAGACCTGACATGAGTTGGTTGCCAGGCGACGCCGAGCACCGGCGCCATTGCATGAACTTCCGACGGCCTAGCCCAGAATAGACTGACGGGGGCGGTACCTCGTGGCCTTCAGGGAGGGCTTGAAATTTGAAGGACGTGACGGGGAAGTTGAGGCACGTAATCATATGCATGATTTTTGTGCTGGGAGGTGATATGGTGGCATTTCTTTCCCAAATTCGGGGAAATTCATTGTGCTGTGTTAGGGAAAGGTTCCCTTAATAAATGGACCGCATTTTTGCGTGCTTCCCGCTTCAAGATTGTGAGTAATTCGACGACAGAAGGGGCAATGAAGCAACTGGGGACACGAAAAGAAATCCAGGAAGGACAAATGGGTCAGAGACTTGGACACATGGACACATGGCCACCGCCACACAAGCGTTAGGACGTGAATATGATTTGCTTGAACGCGCTAATTTGCAGAGCAGTGAGTATTCAGGAAAATTAGAGGGCACCGTGGAGGCTCTGTCACGCTTGGGCCTGAGCGTCATCAGCATTAGTGTTGGCGGCGATGAAGTGGACAGTCGCACTGGCCCTATGCTGTAGTGGCAGCGTGTCGATGCGAATCGATGCTCAGCGAATTCGCTGACCATAAGAAAATGGAATTTTCATGAAACGAAACATTCTTGCAGGTCTGTTATGTGGCGCTTTCAGCTAATCTCCATTCTTGCATGCCTTTTAAATGCCCGTTCTAACAACCTGCGTACATCGCCGTGTTTTGTCACCGTTGCGCCACACAATATTTTGTGCACTGAAACAACGCTTTCCGCCCACGAGGCATCAAGGCCCTAGTGAGGACGGTGGGGAGGGCAGAAGCCTTACCTGTCAATAGTTTGGATGACAAGAACTAGCAATGGCAATCGTACTCGAAGCCGGTGGGAAATGAAAATGGGAGGCAATCAGCGCCATGCTCCCCACGTCGAACCCTTGCTCGCGGTGGGCGCTGACACCCACAAGTTGCTAATGGGCTGCAGGCCGCTTACACTACTGTAATGTTTATGTTGTAACGTTGTGAGTTCAAGAGCCTCGCCAAGCGGGGGTGGCCAGGGTGGCAATCTCTCGCACGTTGCTGTGGGAAGTGCATGATCGCAGCAGTTATTTGCTTGCTTGTCTGTTCCCTTACACGAATGCATGGCATAACGCCACGGGATTGGTCAATTTGGTGAATGACTCCAGCGTACGATAGCCATGTGCAGGCCCACCTGTGCTTCTAATGCGCGCCTCCAACGGCGGTCAGTTCTACCCCCGATCCTTTGGAAATTACCCACAATTATGGCAATAATGCGACGACGAATGCGGAGGGACGGACGGCACTTTGGGGTAGCTACCCTCCATGGGGTGCTCTATAGAGCACTGAGAACGGGGCATGCCGACCAGTGCAGAGGTTGGGATGGCAGCTGTGATACGCAAAAAACACATCTTACCTTTTGCGACGCTGGGATGTCCCTTTCGCTAATGGAACCACCGCGTGGGGTCATGATCTTGGGACCGAGAACAAGCACCAGCGTCCTCATCAGTGCTGATCGGATGTTTCTGCACCCGCCGTCGCCAGCAAAATGCAGGGTTTCGGCTTGCTATTGCTGTTTTGCAACCAATTTTGCCAGGCTGTGGTGACCCCCCGTCGCCATATGCCCATGCATGGGGTTCGCCGCAGATATGCACTTTCCGCTGTTTCCCACAGGAAGTTTCTAAGCAGTTTGGGCACCGCTGTTGTACTTCGCCAGTAACGACACGCGCGCACAGCGTGAGTCATGAGAACAACAGGGTCTTGGGAAAGCAGCCTGAACTCGGACGATGTCCCGCAAACTGTGAATCTCTCACCCCCTTCATCTTTGCTTCGGAGGCTCTATATCATATTTTCATAGCATGGAACAGAGCCTCGCATACACTTGCCTAGGAGGGGGTGCCCTTTGTATGACTATTTCTCTTTCTCTTTTGTAGCACATATCACACCCAGGCCCCAAAAAGGGAAAAAAAAAAGCAAAAGCGCATGGCTGCGGAAACCAACCGTCATTCCGCTGCGCTGCTTTTTTCTTCGCCCGTCACCACGGCCCGCGAAGGGGGCGCGTGCAATTCGAACGTGACAGAATGTGCGCCTGCCGGCATCCTGTTTCGCCACGCGGCACTGCACACGCACTCCCACCTCAAGGGGCGCCCCACGCTCACAGGGCCTGCGCACCAAAAGCCCAGACCGCGGCCAGCTGACCGGGCCGCAGACGCGGCAACCCCATCGCCAACGATCAAACGGGCCCATTCCGTCGGCATCCCCCGCGGTGCCTCTGCCCAAAATGACAGGCAGTTCGCCAAACGGAGATCACAATGGAGTCCACGCGCCAAAGGCAGTGGGTGACCGCGACGCGCATTGCCCTGATCTCTCCCGATTTGGCAGCGGCGTTCGGGAGGGATGGCGTGAATTTGATGTCGGGGAGCGCGCGGCCGCGAGCGGGCTGATGGGATCTGGATGGCTCGCAGGTGTTCCTGGTCTTCGGCCGCACGGGGTGGATCGGCGGCCTGCTGGGCGGCGTGCTGAAAGAGCGCGGGGAGAGATTCGAATTCGCGTCCGCTCGGCTGGAGGACAGGGCGGATGTAGTTGCGGATATCGAACGAGTGCGTTGGCCTGCACGGCTGTTGCCCATGTTGGCATTGAACGGGTGCTTCCTTGTCGGTGTCTTCCACGCAAGCAGTCCATTTCGACAGCTTGTGTGGATTCTCGCTGTGGATGATTTGCTTGTGGATTCTTTCCGCGTTCGCTGAATCGTTGTGTTGGTCGTGGCCGTCCCGCAAACCAGCGTGCTGACTGTTTTGCGTGTTCAGGCCGACTTCCTTTGTTTTGAAACTTGCCCGCGAAAGACAAAGCGGTGCCCTTGGCGATGATGGGCGCATATAAATCCGATAACGTTTTTCCTGTCCATCGGTTCATTTTACCGGCTCGCCACCTGTCTGCAGTGCACACAAGCGGCGCATGCGTCGGCAGTGGCTTGGCAACACACACGCCCACGCACATTGGCCCCTTCTAGGTTGTTACTGTCGACCCCGCAGACCTGTTGGAGGTTTACCAACATGAGACGGAGAGGAAGGACTTCTGGTGCCATAACACTTGGTTGGATCAGCAACAACGACCGCCACAAGGTTCGTCGTTGTTGGATCCCGAGTCGAGGCATCGCACAATACATTTTAAGGCGTGCTGTGCGGTGCTCTGCACAGGTGAAACCAACTCATGTGCTGCATGCTGCGGGGCTGACCGGCCGGCCCAACGTGGATTGGTGTGAGGATCACCGGGTACGCAAGGGGATTTGAGGGCAACAACAATGGGTGCAGTTCCCACACACACATTCACATTTGGTCTGAAAGGAGGAGTTCTCCCCATGGATATAAAACACATTGTGTTCTCTCTGATTCCAAAATTTGCGTGGAAGGAAAGAGTTCAAGTGCTATACCAGTACCTGTACAAAAGATGTGGGTCCTTTGCTATCCTGCAAAACATTACAATTACAAAGTTACAGACTTTGATAATGGAAAACAGGGGCGATTTGGGGCTATGCGTGTGGAAATGGATGTTTTCCCTTTGACTCCTCGGCTCAGGATGTACGAGTCTTACATGTTTTCAGGTCAAAACTGGCCCCATAGTGGTGTGCCATGTTGCGTCGGTGCACATGGAGGGATGTTGATTGATGGGCTGATGGATAAGTGGATACGCTGTCTGGACACTTTGGCTCGTTACACTTTGGCCTGGTTGATTGTGTGCATCTATCATAATTCAGCAATTTGAAACAGTGTCGTTGCAAGAGTGTTCATGTAATGCATGTATGCTGTTGCACTGTGCGACATCACAGTCACATAACTGTTGACGTGCAAGAAACAATCCATCTTGCCTTGAGCGACATGGACCAAGAATTTGCCAACCTTGCATGTATGCTCAGCGTTTCTCATTCATTGTGTATCCATTTGGAGCCCTGTTGGAGACACAAATGATAACTTCTTTGTTGGGTTGTCTAGCTTTGGTTGCTTCAGCAGCCCAGTCTCAACATAATGATTACGGCTCTTTCTCGATCGTCTTCGGGGTCGGACTCATCCCGAACCCAGCTTGTGATCAGTTTGCCTCAGCCTTGCCGGGCAAATCACCTTAGAGGGGCATCCACATGACGTATTATGGTACAGGCTGCATTTTCCACTATGATGATGATTTTCCGATGGGAAGTGGGAAAGGCTTCAAGGAGTCTGACACACCCAACTTCACAGGCTCGTACTACTCTCACACCAAGGTGACTCCAAGTCATGGACTTATCATTGAGTAGGGCATCGGCATGTTCATTCACTTTCGGGACTTGTTCGCAAAGGATTGTCATCAAGGGGCAGGTTGACAAGATCAGGGGATGCCATTCTTGGTGGGCAACCTTTCGGACCGTCTTTGGGTTAGCGCTGTGGATCAATCGCATTATTTTCGCCTTTAATCCTTCAAGATTCCACGTGTGCCAGCAGTGAGGTTACAGAGAATCACATGAGCACTTAGAAGGTACCCAGACATGCCATGGCCTGGCAGATGTGAACAGAGATTTTCCCTGAGCGGATCTTTGCTTCTTGGGCTGCAGGCAATAGTCGAGAACCTCATTAAGGAGTATCCCAACGTTTTAACACTCAGGGTCCGGATGCCGATCGTTGCTGACCTGACCTACGAAAGGAACTTCATCACCAAGATCATCAAGTATGAGAAGGTAGAGCCAGAACGGCAGCAGTGAGCGTTTTGGCGTTTGATGCTGCCCTGCGGTCGGCATCATGTATGCTGGATTTGAAGTTACACAACTGCATGTGTCAGTGGTTGCCCCATGTGCCATCCTCTTTTCTTGATGTTTCCGAAACCAGCGTTCCTCTTACAAACTGTGGACAACTCTTTATGGACAGTGGCCACTTCGTCCATTGTTTCCACACTGTACCTTGCTTGCTTCTCTGCATTCTCCACAGCCCATGCAATCGCCTGGAGGTGACTCAAGACATAGGCTGTTTGTGCTTGAAGAGAGTGCAGGCTTTGAGTGGGAAGTTAAACGTGCAGTGCATGGGCAACCAAGCTGATGCTGCAATGCCATATTGATTCAAAGCATTACTTTGTACCGGCTGCAGGTTGTCGACATCCCAAACTCCATGACAATCTTGCCTGAGCTCCTCCCAATGTCTGTGGAAATGGTGAGCGACAATTCATGAGGCCACACAGATGTCAGGTGTCAAATCATGACACATCGCAGCCTAGCACCTACAGGGCGTTGTCTGTGAGGGATGGAGCCATGGACTGTGTAATCCGCTTTGATTGTAATACCAGCGTGTGACAAACACCGTCACTGAACTGCAAAGGCGATGTTTTCACATGCCCTCTTGTTTGTCATCCGATTTGGAGGAGCTTTCGTTCACAACCAAGAATCTGACATGTGGGAAGCCTGTGCATTACGCTTGCATCTCCTTCTGGTGCTAGTGGTGGGCAGGCTGGGAAACTGTAGGAAAGCTTGGCAGGGGTGTGGGGGTGGGGAGCACACTATACAGCAAATACTAGCTCTGGAAGTCCACCATCTTGGTTGAACCATTCTACACCTTCTGTTCCCAGCTGATGCATCCACACTTCCTCATAGTTTGGTGTCATAAGTCCCTTGGTTTCAAGTGGACAATGATGGTCGCCTTTGTGGGATGTGATGCCAGGTAATGGACATTGTGGAGATTTCCCAATTGCACATATTGCATATTGGTTTGCCACCACTGGGTGGAGACTTGTTGTTGGGTGGTGCCAAGCCTGTATGTTGTCTGATCACCAACGAACAACCCACCATAAGTGCGTTTGCCCATTGGGGAAATTGGGGTGGAAAAATGGCTTCAGCCCTGCACCTGCCATTTCAATCTGGTGCAGGAGCTGAGAAGCTCAAGCAAACCACATGCTTGGGAGCTTTCCAGCTGTCCAGCATGCTGGGCATGTTGTAAAACAGGAGTTGCTTTTTCATCACAGGCACTGCGAGGTCTCACCGGGATTATGAACTTCACAAACCCTGGCGCCATAAGTCACAACGAGGTATGGAGGGGTCAGGGGCACTTGGCCGGTACCGCAGTCTCGTGTTGTTTGACGGCGTTGGGAATAATCTGGATTGACTGGTCTGTGGACAACATTGCACCATATGCTTTGTGGTGAAACGCGCTTGTTGTGCTTATTTGTGTGCCGGTGCTCATTTCCTTGGAAACCGTCCCTGAAAGCACGCCCAATGGGCACTGTGCTGTCTTCAGTGGCACACTCAGGCTACTCAACAATGCTGTGCCGTGGTTGATTGAATGGTATCATTTGTAGCTGCAGGGCATGCCATTTTGCATAGTAAGCATTTGGAAGCTGTCTCAGCAGCGCGGCATGCGTGTTAATGCGCGCATGTATCAAGAGAAGTAGGTTTGGGCTCAAATGCGCAGTGGGAGGCTGCATGAGATGTATGACACAGCGGCGCTCTTGTGCTTTGCTAGATCCTCGAGCTCTACAAGAAGTACATCGACCCCGAGTTTACATACCGGAATTTTACCCTTGAGGAGCAGTCGAAGGTCATCAAGGCGCCCAGATCAAACAATCTGCTTGACACGAAAAGGGTGAGGTGGATATCCGGAAGCATGAATGTTTCGCAACCGTGTTGGCACATATTTTACGATGCAGCCAGCAGGGGACAGCCCAACTCATGGCTTTGTAAGTGCAAAGGCTCTGCAAAGGCTGTGCAAAGGCTGTGCTTGGGCACTAGCCGGCTGGTATTTGAATTTCCGCCGCTGGCCACATTGTTTTCCATTGCAGCATTCAACGACGACACTTGCATTGGGAAAATGGCCAGAGTCTCCCTCGTCCAGAAATCACGTGATTGCTGTCGACCAGAGGGTTGCGCTTTGCGTCAGGGCCGTGCCCTTTGATGTGCGCATTTTGAGTGTTCGTGGCAAATTGCATTTGGTACATTGTTTTGTTGAATTTGTTGATGAAGGGCATTGTGTATTGGAAATTGCAGCTCCTCACCTGCCCGCCTGCATGCAACGTTCAACAATGGTTTGATACTCTGGAAGGCGCAAAGATTGTCCTGGAGTTCACTTGCGTGCTTTCTAGCTCGCGAGTCTGCTTAGCATTGCTGGATCGCGTCGAACACAGGTTCTTCACCTGATAGCCATGAATTTAAATTTGAATGATTCATGAAATCGTGAATCGTGGATCATGATTCGAATTTGAATCGCGCGTGTGCGCTTCCTGTAGCCTAAGACTCCCTGTGCTGCATCCTTGTCTGGAATGCAATGTATTACAGGATGCTTCGGCAAATTGGTTTGATCAGGAGCGGTAATGTGCTTGCGATCACATGCAGAGACAACAATGGGATTGACACCTGCAGTGCAAACGTTTGTGCTCCTGACTTGATCTCATGTGGACATGTTGTCGTGTGTACTCAGATACAAAGCGAATTTCCAGAAATCCTGCCCATTCGAGAGGCGTTAATCCGTCACGTGTTTGAGCCCAATGCTGCCAAGGTGAGCTCATCGGGATGAAACAGCGGATAGGCTGCGGCACTTGCAGTAGGGCACCGGGCATCAAGCGCGAAATCCTTGTTTCTTTCTTGTTGTTTTCGATCTTGCAGACCGGTCGTATTGCGGGAAACGCATCCCGGACTGACTGGAGCTGGCGAGTTTATCGTCAAGCACTGGCAAGTGTTCGAGAATGTCAGTATCGCATCCAGTGGCCATGCAAAGGACAGGTGGCTGCGAGGTCACGCGTACGTGCTCGACTGTCGCTTTGGGCCACTGGTCACCGTCATCAGGGATGGGCACTCACGCAGTGAGTGATCCCAGATGTGCTGTCCTGACGTTGCGCTGGTGTCTGTCCCAGAAATCTGAAGTTCGAGAAGCAGTGCGGACGATGAGGGGACGCGTATGAACGGCACCAACTTCAAAGGGCGGTCTGCATCGAGCGGCATACATGCTTGCTTCGAGCTGGCAGCTAGGTGGGCGAATAGTCGCGGGATAATGGGCCAGGGAGTGCCTAGGGATCGGAAGCTTGCGGAAGGGTAGCGAAATAGCGTTGTAGGACTGTACTATGGCATCAACATGCGGCTGTGTCTGGCTTTTCGTTTGTTGCGATGGGCTCTAGCAAGCGTATAAACTGTGTTTCAGGCGAGAAACTCTTAGGGCATCGTCGCACAGATGCAAGGGCGCTGCTTGGTCCTAGTTTGGAAACTGCAAAGGCAGATTTCAAACAGACGCTTGTAACGACAAAAAGGCAATTTAAATGATTCAATTCTCGAATTCGACAAGATCATGGAAATGTTACTCTAGAAGGGTCGGTGTCCGATTCTCTCTGCTTGGGTTGGGACAGAAAACAGCAACGGAAAAGGCGAGCCCGTGAACCGATTGACGGTCGATGCGCGACTGCCCACCTCATCTCGCCTCATGTACCAACCCTCAGCTCCGCTATGATGAAAAAGAGGCGCTGAGCTATGTTCCACCTGTGCCAACAAACGCAAACGTCCGCAAAACCACCAGGGCGTACCTCCAGACGACTGCTGCGTCTCACGGCGCGGGAGCTGGTCCACTCACACACACCAGAGCAGCGCCTCCTGAGGCAAGACCGCCCTCCGTTCCGTCCGCATTTCATCGCCTTGTGCGGCAACTTATAACCCACTGGCGCGTGCTCGTGGTTTACAAACGTCGACGAGATTGACTCAAAGGATTGGAAAACCCCGCCCCTTCCCCCCTTCCCAATTCCCTTTCGTCGCTGAGACGGTGTTCTGTGTACGGTTTCAGCCGCCCGTTGGGAGGCACCCTGAACAAATGTACTGCGTGGTGCTGTTCCACGGAGACGTCCTTTTGAGGTTGCGGGGGTAGTGCGTGACACATGGGCGGCCCTGGACGTGGGCATGACGCATTCTGATGGGTCGTGTATTGCGGATATAGCACGGACGGTTACACGCACATTATTGTCGTAACAGCATATGTAGGAAATCTTCTTCTTCCCATTCATTGCGCCATCTCCTCCCGATGTCTCCCTGAATCCCGGCCGCCCTTCTCCCGCCTGCGCTTCCGCCGGTCGCGATCCCCGGCGTCGGCGTCCTGGAGCCTGGCTGGCGACAGGCTCCGAGATGTGTCTCGGTGCCGCCTCGACTTCTTGTCTTTCCTCCTTCCCCTGTCCCTCTTGCTGGCGCCCCTCGAGCGCTCCAGCTCCTCGGTGAGCGCCTCCACGTCGTAGCCTGCCGCCTCGAGCACAGAGCGGGCGTGGGCCACCTGTCAATCAATGAACAACCAATCAACGAGTCAGGTGCTTGCTTCGAGGACTACAACGGGTGTGTTGGCGGAAGGGAGCGCGGTCCAAGAGTCGCAATTCTTGGTACTGCTGTCGGCCAGGAGCCCACGATGGACTCGCGACTGCGTGCAGCAGCAACATCGGCATGGAGACGTCCTCAGACAATGTCGGAGCCTCAAACACGCCTCCTGTATTTGTGCGACCATCGAGTCTTCCGCATTCTCGCCGTGGGCCACGCATTGCGATCGTACATCACAGGGGGCTTGCTTGTACTGGACAGAGTGACGGGAGATGCGGAGAACAGGAAATGAACAGGTTTCGCTGGTGCACGTGTGACTCACCTCCAATTTCCTTTTCTCTTTTTTACGAGCTTTCTTCAGCCTGCGCAGTTTTTTGGCGTCCGTTTCAGCACTCTCTTGTGGCCCTGTTCTTACAAAGCGCACAGTCAATTCACTGCCACTGCGAACCCGCCGTGATTTCGAGCAAGCGCCGTGCGTGGGTTCCGACCACCGTCGCCTGTCGGGTGCCCGAGTCCTGCCTTGTTGTTTAGGTGACTTAGAAAATAAAGGGTTTGATTGTGACTACTGCAATAGTCATCTTAGATCTCATACACCAGGACTGTGCAATACATTCGCATGCATTGCTGCAGCGTTAGCCACGCGCCACGGTCACGACACTGTATGTTACAAAGGCAAGCAAATTTTGCTTAGAAGACCACCTGGCGATAGCAACATCGTCTTGCATGGTCCATTGGCCATTCTGCAAGTGCATCCAGCTGTGCTTCAAATGGTGCTGAATTGAAGCGAACACATTCTAAACATTTACACACTTACGTGACTACAATGCAGTGCATAGATTCTGATGCATACGTTTTGGCAGATGTTTTGGCAGCCACTTTTCATGTATTTTCAGCTCTCTTTACCATGGGCTTCCATAGCCTAGTTTCTGGGTATTCGCTGTCCGTTTCTCGAAAGATCCCGTTTTGGGCGGTCCTTCACAGTTCTTTCAGGCATGCACAGCCGTTCTCAGGGTTCAAGTTCTTAATTTCGGCTCTAGAGATTAGGGGTGTCAGGGCTTAGGGTTTTAAGGTCAATACAAATGGAACACTTTGGACTACAAATGCACCAAAAGGGCTTTCTTGGCAGGACGGGGTCTGAATATTGATGCATACCAAAACGGGGTGTAAACAGCAGTCAGGCTGGAAGCACACAGGATGAGCATGTAAAGCAGTTAATATAAAAGTTAATAATTAACGAGTAGTTCAGCGAACAAATATCAGAGCCATGTCAATGAATCGAGCATCAAAAATCCGCAGAGCTTCCACAGTTGGGCGTAAGCACTGGACAAATCTGGACTAGGAGTAATTGCATACAATGGAGACAGGACACCTCCACAGTGTACAATCTGATCAACAACAATAACTCACCTTCCTCAAGATCGTCCATCCCCACCACCAGTTGTTGATTATCTGCAGTCGAGTCAAAGCCACCATATGGAGCGGCTCTTGTCAGCATCTGAACACTGCATGACACACCAAGAGGAAACAATGAAATAGACAATGAGAACAACAGAATAGAAGAGAAAAGTATATGCCAGTGTTCAATCCTTGGGCCGCAGGCTGAAGTGCAAGCTTCTTGGTGCGATCCAGATGGAGGCACGGTACTCAGAATGACAGCCCATGACAGTTGTGCCATCTCTTTTAACCCAATTGAATGCATATAGCCTTGCACAAGCATGTCTTTGGCACACATGGTCACATTGCCTACCTGCTCACAAATACACTGACTGGGTGCATAAAGGAATCATAGTCAGTGGCAACAACTTCTCGAATGTGGAAAGGCATCTGCCATCAACTTGCGGGTGCACTGACAGTGCTTTTACATAATCGGCAAGTGTTGTCAGAGCGAATTCCTACACAAATGCGATATGCCACACACGAATCTGTCCTTGACTTGCCATCTGCCTCACCATGAGGTACTTATCATCAAGGTGTGTGTGCTGCCACCCAGACAGCTGACCAGCACATGGCACAGCCTCCCAGCTTGGATCCCAGCCCCTCAACTTGGATCGACAGATCGCACCTCTGTTCGCCCTCTTCCCGCAGTGCGCACCCTTGCAGCATCGTCTTCACAGGGCCTTTGTCCGAGAAAGTGGCTGGTCCCATAGGCCTGACGACCGAAGCAGATGTGGTGCCTGGCATAGTCTTCTGCGCCTACAGAGGCAGCGGCAAACAGCGACGTTGTTCCAGTTGTGCCTCGAGACTTCTGCACCTTGTCTACAGTACATAAAGCAGTCCCAAACCATTTGCTAATTGGGCAAGCAGCACATTCCTCTCTCCCACCTCGCCTTGTGGCTTTTGGTCCTGCTTTTCTTTCTTTTTCACTGCATCTTGCTCCTTTCTCAAGGCCGCCTCAAGACCCGGAGGCTTCATGTACATGAACGCCAGCGATTGTCGGTCCTGGTACTTCTTTTGGGCATCAACACTCATATAGCTCAAACTCCTGAAGTGCTCCTGCTCGGATTCGAATTCTTTCTGGGGTGAAAATGGAACAGAAAAAGTTAACTGTGCACCAACTGCAGCATTGTGGGATTCTACCCTTCATTGTCCTGCAAAAGGGCATCCATAACCAATTCTGTGATTTGGTATTGAGTGGCCATCGTTTCCTTATTCAAATGCACAAACTATCTTGTGGAAGAGCTGTATCTCATCAGGCACTGCGATGTGGGCTACGCATCAGCCCACACAAATATTGTATGTTTCAAATATGACACCACACAGAATATCTAAAGCAAAAAAAATGTTTTGTGTGTTGGAGGTTGCCATGGAGGTGCCAAGGAATCAAAATGCATTGTCACAATGGTCAAGCCAATGCATAAACATGGTAGAACACACTAATTTCAGTTACATGCCAGGAAAGCAGCAGGAGTATGGATACTTCTGTTACGGTTTGCAGGTCAGCAGGAGTTCTCAGCAATCCAACCAAGTACAGTCAAACTTCTGCCAGCAATGAGCAGCACATACAAATCAGGAAATTCTTGCCAAAATTTGACATCAAATTCGTTGGGATCGTGCTCGATACATTTTCAACTCAAATGCTACTAAGCAGGTGATATTCAAACAGCTTTCAGCACAGCGCACAATTCCAGGTCCGCAGCATTGTCGAAGCCCTATTTTAGGGAATGATGAAAACATGCTGTTGCTTTTCATGCATGCGGGAAATAGATCAAATAGAGCCCACAGGTGAATGGCACTGCCCGTCGCCCTCAACAGTAGGACATCTGCTTGTGGTTAATTTAAATCCACCCGGGTTACCCAGCAGATTTGGTGCCTGCTTGAGTGGCCTCCCACCTTTAGTATGCATGCTTCAACTAGCACAGCTTCCGGTCAGCTGCCAACACTCAACAGATGCATACTTGCAATTGATGGCTTCTTAAAGGTACCCAAGTCCATAAGGTCGTCAGGAAGCACATCATATCCTGTTTGGATGAATGGACACAGCAACAATGGACCCCACTGGGTAAATGGCTCACCAAACGTAGCACAGCATTCACTGAAGCTGCCTGTTACTCTGAGATGTGGATCGAGCGTTTGGTTCACTGAAATACCTCCCAAAAAATGAACAGGTAGATAACATGTGCAACTGGGTGGTTTTCAAAGTCGAGTGGGGGTGTTGAGGCCCAATAGCACTCTCTCTTTATGGTTCCCTTTTGGGCATTGTGCTTTGAGCATGAAACAACAAAGGTTCCAGTGGAAACTAGATGAGCTCCAAGACATGCGGCCTTCAGCATACCTTCCCTTCTTCTATTCTCTTCGCTTTCTCCATGGCCCTGGCCTCTGCCTCAAACTTCCTCTGCTGGTTCCTGAAGGACGATGGGTGCCATGGCTTCTGGTTGAGGAACCCATGAGACCATGCAACGCCCACGCCTCGAGGGTCGTAGGCTCCTCCTCCCTCCTGGGCGCGGCGGGCGTCCTCACGGATTCCTGACCAGCACTCCTCCCCACAGGCCCATCAGATGCCAGGCAAGCTCAATCAAAGCTGAGTTGCAGTTCGCTGTGCAATTCGTTGCTCGTTGATTGCACCCGCAGATGCCCCAATGCTATTTGCCACCCTCCAGCATGGGGCAGCGGAATTAACTGCTTTGGATCGATATGAGCAATACATGATATCCATGTCTTCTCAAAACCAGTCGCCCTGCAGTTCTGCTGCCTCTGTGAAATGTGTTGTGGCTGTGGTTGATTTGATAGCAGGGGGGTGGGTGGGTGTGATAATCGCTAAACTAGGAACACGTCCCTGCGCCGTGCCAGCAATTCTTCATTGCATCCAAAGCTCTGATTCTCATTGATATTAATGGGGCCGCAGCATCGCCCACCTGGCCTAAGGATTGGAGGGGAAGAAAGGCAAAAGCAAACACCACTGGGGACGACTCGGAGGTGCGTCACGCGCGCAGGATCTCAGGGAAGCGAAGGGACCGGTGGAATGGACTTGGCCAGAGAGAAGCCCGCCCTTTGCGCGTTCCGCAAGCCGTTGCCTCTTTCGTGGAGGGGTCGCCGCACCTGCCACAACGCCCCTGGCGGGAGGCCTGTGCGACATTGTTGTCCGGCACGCTGGCTATTGCTGCACGGCGGGGTTCTGCAGGCCTAGACCCCGGGGCGAGTGGGTAGCCTCGCCTTTTGCAGGTGGTCTGGAGAGCGGCAGGCGACGCAGGCCATGTCGAATGGCAAAGGGCCCCGTTTGTCGGTCCCCCCTGGTTGGCATAGCCCTCTTTAAGTACGGCGCTGGGGGCATGCTCACAATGGTCTCAACGCTGAGTTGGATTTGTTGGCAGAAAAAAGGAACGAGCGCCTTGACAAGTCAAGTTCTGCTCGCAGGACTCTCAGAATGGACTCGGACTTACTTCAGTAGTATGTTTTCACTGGAGGTAGTATTTTTGTTTGAAGGCAGCCCCTACCAAGCGTACACACTGGCCCAGAGTATCAACGCACATGCTCCTCGATGTGGAACATCGTATGGAATTTCCACAAGTAGAAATGTCCAGTATAGTCAATAGTAACTTTTGTTGCGGGTCGCCAATTGTAGCTTGCATGAACAAAATACGGTTGTAATCATCACAGGAGATGGTGCCCCGTGTGGTCCAGAATGCAGTGGATACGCCGTGCAAACAGATCATCAAACGCTCAGAATGATGGCGAGCAAGCTGTTGACGTGGGCACAAGAAAAAGGAGATTACGTCAGTGCGCCCAATCGCTGAATAGGTCAGCATAATTACGCTTCTGCTCAGTGCGTCATTGTTACACGCCAGCGCAGCTCAGGCCACGCTACAGGCTACAAGGACCTAATTCTTAGCAGATTACCGCCTTGAATGGGCTGGGAAGCAGCCTTTGGATGGTGCACCGCATGCAAAGGGCATGTATCGCTGGGAAATGTACTGCCAGTGCTATAAGTGCCGAGCTGCTGTGACTAACCCCAGGCTATTGGGGGGGCGCAGCGACACCGCGAGGAAGGCACGCAAGGTGTCGAAAGTGCTGGGCCGGTTTGCAATGCCGCGGCGAATGTCAAGAGAGCTGCTTTCCATTGGTGTCCGTGCTGCACCGCGAGCGACAGAGTGATGCGCGATCGTCGAACATGTTTAACCTGGTCCGACCATGGGAATGATGAGTGGGGGGGGATTAGCCGCTCGGAGGCATTGGGCGTTGACGAAGGGTGCGATATGGCCATGGAGAGGTGGCCGCCCATCTCCGTGGGGCAGGAATGTATAGGAGAGCGAGTCGCACCTTGGCAGCCGGCCGGACTGTGGGCCAGAACATCCAACGGGCAGAGTTGCTTTGCGGGCGGTCAGCTGTTGTTGGGGAAGCGTAGTTGCGCATGATAGCGGGACACAATCATACATGGTCACACATTGGATGCTCTCAAGGGTGAGACGGAAGAGGATATGTCGACCTATATGACGGGATATCAGTAACAAAACGTTCGGATTCGGCGCGTTTGACAAAAGCTTACGGTGCAGCGATTCATGAGCTGAGTGTGGGTTGTTTGCATGTGAAATTCTGCTCAGTGATGACGAAGATATTGGATTGCACGTGAAGCCTTGCAGCGTTGAGAAGCATACCTCGAGTGTCGAAGGAAAGAGCACCATCACTGAACGATTCAACAAGGCGGACAGCGTCCAAGAACTCGAGCGGCCGGCCCAAATTTCTTGACACGTTTTGGTTCAAGATTCGCTGCCCTGGATGACTCAAGGAGAAAGCCTAACAGAAACATGTTGCGGAGCCAAGCGACACCAAAGAGATGTCTCCTTGGACGTGCATTTGGCAGTCCAGCCGTTACTGTTGTGCGGCGTGCATGGGTCAGCAAGAGTTATGCATCCCCATGG